ATATTATTTTATATAATAATATAATATAATACCATTACCGTTTCCAGGTATTTTACCAATTTCCCTTCTATCCAGTATTTACCCCATGTATAAAGGCAAGTTTGGTGAAGCGCTGGAACAGGTTGCCCAGAGAAGTTGTGGATGCCCCATCCCTGGAAGTGTTCAAGGCCAGGGTGGGTGAGGCTTTGAGCAACCTAATCTAGTGGCACGTGTCCCTGCCCGTGGCAGAGTGTTTGGAACTAGACAATCTTTAAGGTCCCTTCCAACCCAAACCATTCTATGATTCTATAATGTTATTGTTCATTTAATTACTTTATTATAATTTCCTTTAAACATTTCTTAAATTTTTAACAGGTTTTATGCAGATTTAAGTTAGAATCTAGTGGTTAACCTCAGTGTTCAAATATATACTTTTTTTTTTAAATTTCCAACAGAAAGCTTATAAAAGCTCAGTAAAAAGAATTCCAATTTGTTTCTCCAAGTCATAGCATCATTTTGGTCACTGTATTTTTCTTAACAGCACAACCATTTGTTCTTTCTATATTCATTTACCTGTTTCCTGAGGCTGCATATTTTTTGATTCTGTTTCTTGCCTTTAAAAGGCCACGAAGTTGCCTGAAATTCACTGAAAGAGTTTACTTGTGTAAGGTGTCGTACAACTTGGTTGTTTTGTGATGATTTACTGCTTGCTATGCCTGACACGGCAATAAGATTGATGTGTACAAATGAGGACGTGCTCATTACTCTCATGGATATGGATCATCTGACTAAGAAAATGACTCAAAGGCAAGGAGCAATTTTATACCTCGCCATTGTGACAGTAAGCAATTTGTATTTTGAGGATTGTGAATATCATCTTGTGTTTCTGTGACCTTGCTGTCTGTTCTTGAAGTTGTCTGTTACAAGGGAGTCTGTACGTGTTGCTGCAGTGCTGCCTGAATGATAAAATCAATGTATCTAGACATTTTTTTAATCTCATTTATACTTATTTTAACAGTAATACATTATTCCGATTTGGTGATATTTTACACTCATCTTGCGTTTTGGTTTTGAAAGCTAAGCAGCAGCAAAAGCTGAGCATGGAAAGTCAGACCAATGGCTGTGCTAAGCATCTTTTACTCAGGTTATTCTGCCCAGTTACATCAGATCTGGACACACTGAACCTAGTCACTCTGTTGTGTGACATTTGGTTTTGAGCTCTTGTAATCTTTTGTGTTCTATGTTTGCAGAAGAAACCATTTTGTAAAGGTGCCTTTGGCTGCTGAGAGCAAAGTAGCAAAACTGCATGCAAGTGTGCTGTGTATTAAATTACTTTGAAGTCAAATTTTCGAGAGCCTAAGAGTTGTTTTATGGTTTGTTTATTTTTATCCAAGGATTGTGTGCTTTGTTTTCTTTTTCCTTTGGCAGTAGTTCTCTAGCTCTATTTCTGTTTCAATCCAATATTAGAAGAAGAATCAAGAGCTGATTCCTCTCTTCCTTCTCTTTTTAAAGCTAGTAAAGTGTTTGCACGTCCCACAAAAAGGAAGCCATCCTAATATGTAGCTTCTTAAACAAGTGTGAACTTAGGTGGAATTCTACGAATGGAATATATCCAGTTGTGACTGGATGTTGAAACCTGAATTTTGGAGCCGTTGCCACAGAATGGCAAGTGGATTCTGTTTACTTTTCTTTTGGGGAATTGGTTTACTTAATTAAAATCTTGACTAAAATGGCAGAATTTAAACAATTATTTTATTTCCCACGATGTTGGCTCGTTGACTGATTGGATGGCAGAACAAGACCTGGATATTTAAAGGAACTGGAAGAAAAGAGGGATCTTCTCACCGGTGGGTTTTATTGTAAAAGAGATCTTTGGTTAAAATATTGGCAACTTGTACCACCCACTCTCATGAAGGTCTTGGAGGAGAAATGAGGTGTTTTCAAAGACGATATTATTTCGTCCAAGCAGAAGTATTTTAAAATAAAATATATTAGCATTGTGGAATGAAATTAGTGACTAAAACAATGAACATCTCATACTTAGCCAGATTTGGTAACTTTTCTGGTAAGTTTAACTTTGAATTTTGCACTTGTCCAAATATTTTATATTTCATTGTTTTTCTTGTCTGTCACTTGCACATCCACCTGAGATGTTTATCTTATTGTCCTGTTTTTAATGTACCCGAGGGAAAAATAAAGTAGGCTACTAGCCTTGCATTAAAAGCATGGCTGATGGACCTGTTTAAGCTCACAAAACCTCAGAGCGTTTTCAGAGATGTGTCTGAAATTGGAGTTTAACAGCCCAACCGTAACTCATTCTCCACGTGTTGGTGAAGTCTCAAGCCAGAATTTAATGATCCTCGTGTTTCTACAGTTAAAACTAGAATATTCAAGTACAGCAGCAGTGCAAATTAAAGACTGAGTTTGAGCTCAATTTCTGCCTATGTTTGAACAGATTTTTTCATGCTGGATTAAACCTTTAAACTGTCAGGCTGAGAAGGAAATTTGCCTGCTGGTGAAGGCAGTGTGGATCACTGAGCAGTACTAGGTTCATCTGTGTGGGAGATTGCTTCCCGGGAGGCTAATCCAGTTCAGCTGAATGTGAACTGAGTACCATTGCAGACCTTATCTTTCAATCCAGTTCTTTGGCCTTGCCCCCTGAAATGGTTCATGTTCAGTATCAAAAGCTTCCACAGAATATTCGGAGGATAGTATGAGAGAAAATGAACTCCATATAGCAGATGGCATGCAGAGCTGTAGTCTTATGGCTTACTGGCAGCTACAGTTCTGATAGCCCGTTGCGTTATTAGACTGTGCCTGTACTAGTAAATAAGATGGATTAGGGCTTGTTTTCCGGCCCTAAAAGTGACTGGCACAGCATGACTCATGCCCATATGGCTAAACCTTCCCTCTCTGCAAACAAGTTGGCTTTATCCATGCTGTCTATTTGAAACAGCCATGGCTTGAGTTATCCCCTGAACCATAGCCTGCGCATTGCCTGAGAGAGTGCCAGATGGCAGAGGTTTCCAAGCTTTGCTGGAGACCCCATTCATTAAATGCTGTGGATGATTATGGACAGTGATTGAGTTAGCAGCTTGATCCTGCTGAGTTCACTAAGCTAAATGTAGTAATAAATCCTGTGTAAGGACCGTGTTGGAATCTGTGATACAATAGAATAGTCTTCTAAAGGTAAAGTTGGTAAGTCTACAAAGAAAAACTCTACCAGTTCTTCATAGAAATGATTGATGGTCTGCAGATGAAATTCAGTGAAGTGTTTCTTTGTGTCTGTGAGCTTAACCCATTGTGTAGGACATCAGCCCTTGATCTGAATAGAAACTTTATTAGTAACCACACTGTCATCTGATGGTTCCTATGTACAGGTAGGTAGTGTACAGACAGTTGCTGTAGCACAGTCAGAGAATGCAGACCATGCACTTGTATCAATGAGCATTTCCAGCCTTTCTGCAGGCAGTCTGTGATGAAACTGAGTGTACAGAAGGTGTGCAAATCTACCCCTGTATAGGCAGGTGTTGCTGTGAGACTTTATTTAGGAAGTAGTGCATGAAGGGAATATTATCCAAAAAGTTTATTTAGAAGTGAATTTCTGAGAAGAGACGCTTGTCCCTTTCAGACACAAACTGCAGGTCTGCTTGTGAAAGGAGCAGGTGCCTGATGGGTACCTTAGAGCTCTTGGCAAGTCCTGAAGTCTCACAGTAGCTATTAGAGCTCATTTGATGCATCTAAATGACAATAAGATGTCCAGCTCTTTTTGCATTTTTAGTGGAATGAGAAAAGCATCTGAACTTGTTAGATTTTTTTTTCCATCTGAGTATATTTATGCCTGTGTCTTACTGCATTTGTTTGATAAACCTTTTAAACTATTTGACACTTCTTTTCTGTTGCCAGTTTCGAAGAAGCCCTGATATCACTTTATTGAAATAGAAATTGCAGAAATACAAGGAGTGACTTTGTGATAAATGTCACTCTTGCTTATACTGGATGATTTCCAGGCAACAGATTTATGTCAAATTATGGCGTTTCAGTGATGAAAATACTAACACGTTCAGAAGAAATTACTTACTTGCAGGAAAGTCTCGGTTCTTGAAAGAAGCCACCTGGGTCTAGGTGAATGCTATGTGCTAAACTGTTAGATGAGGTAGGCCTTATTTTTTCCTTTAAATTCAGCAGCACTTGGTGGACAGGATGCACATTTGAAATCCAGTGTGCTTATTGACTGCCTCAGCTTCTGCAGGTATCAGCCACAGAGACAGAGTAGCAGAGGGTATGTTCATAAGAAGTGCTTCTTTAGTTACTAGAGTTCTCCAAGGTGAAGTTTGGTATCCTCCGTAAAGGCATTGCATTTGGCACAAAACCTACTGGAGATAAGTTTGGACTCTCTTTAGCAATAACGGGGGCTAGAACTGTTCAGTTTATTTATTCACAGTTTCCTGTCTAAAGACTCTGAATGGTATATTTTATTAAAAATACAAAGAGTAACAAAGAATGGAGAATGAGAGTGATAAGAGGAAGGGAGGAGTGGTAAGTAGGGATACTGCAGCAGGAGTGCAGACTGGGAGAGAAGAGTGAGGGGCAAAGACAGGAGTCCAAGTTTGAAAAAGATTCCTACACGGATCCAGAGACTGAGTAGAGTTGCTTCAGTCCAGGGAGGCACTGAAGACTGATGATTTGGAAGGTAAGACTGGATAAAAGGGACAGTTGCTCTCCTCAGTGTTATTTTCAGGGAAGTTCTGTAGCTCCTTGCCAATCTTCAGTTTAGGTTTTATGAACTGAGAAACTGAGGCAATAACAAGTGAGGAGAGGTTGTCAGTTTAGGTGAGTTTATAAAAGATGGTATGTTAACTGCCTCTTCTTCTCATACAAGTAACTCTGTATGGCTTGTTGTTTCTTCCTATATATAATGATACTATACATAAGTATTATTTCTAGTGGTGCTTATGAAGAAATTTTTTTTTTCCAAAGTTCAGTTCTTTATCTTTTTTTTTGTTGAATGATACCTTATTGTCTGACTGTTCCCGTTTATTTCACCTGAATTACTTTGGAAGTATATACACATGGATGAAAGGGGTTTGTTTCAGTTTTGCCAGAATAAGTTTTGTATTTCTTTATTGATAAAAGGACTCAGTTGCAAGATTGATTGCTATGGGGTTAGTATTGAAAACTTGGTATCGATTTCATTTTAACTCACAAGTCTGTTGCTATTTAGAATTCTTATCCAAAGGAAAAAAAAGGTTAGTGAAGCTGGAAAAACCAATCCTATACTTCCTGGACCTTCACTGGGGGTTGTTTTTAATGGTCAATAACACTTATTTTCTTTCTACAGGCAATGTTCAGTCTCTGCATGGTTGAAAGTGAAGCTGATGAGGTGAATTTGCATGGTGTCACAAGCCTTGGTTTAAAACAAGCCTTGGACTTTGCATACACTGGACAGGTACTGTACAGTTCTTCAAATTAAGAGACACAAATGAAAGCAAACTGCAATAAAAACTGAAGATGACCTTTTCAAAGGTACTCAAAGTTATTCTTTCTTGTACACTGTCCTGTATGAGGTCTTTTGATTTAACAGATCTTACTTTGGATGTACTAGGGTTTTTTTCTCTATAGAAGGATTGTCTAATAAAAACACTGTTTATGTGCATTGTTACCAGGTAGTGAACCACATAGGTTCACTATTATGCCCATTTTATAGTGGCCTAGCTGTTCATAAAAACTTAATAAGAGTTGATTCTGCATACTAAATAAATGTAAAGGAAGGAAAAATACCTTAGGTGTTTTCCTAATAATAAATATTTATAAACTCTACTGTGTTTGACAAATTAGATAATTGAGGGGAAAAGTAGTCTTTTTAGTCTCTGGACAGATAAAGTCCAAACTTCTTTGTAAATGCTTATAGGTACTCTACATCTTTATCGTAGCACTTTTTATGATTGCAGGTTATGTATCACATTATGTTTCTTCAGAAAAGGCAGAGTGATGCTCCTCTTCCTGCCCCCAGTCCTAAAAAAAAAATATCAAAAAATCTGCTGTATCTGTACACTCACTGTTTGGACAGTGTTGCTGTATGAATTCATCTCAGTTCAGAGTTCAAGGATAGTGAGCTCAGAACTTCCTAACATCCACCTATTTGTGCTTTGGACTCTTGACTTATTGATAACAAAACTATTTCTGGAAATATTGCTAGAACAATTGAATTTATTGATGTATATTTTTTTTATTAATTTTGAAAAGGAAAGCTTAAATCCATATTACGTTATTCTGGAAGAGTTGCTGGGTTGTACAAATTTAAGGTATCTTTTTCTGTGTTGTGTATTGAGTAGATGGCCTTAATTTTTTCAAAGGGAATTAAGTAGAAATAATGAAATACATTTTTTTTTAACCTGTTTTAAAGGAGCTATTTTTGTCACCAGCCTACGCAACAGTTACACTTCAGTAATGGCCTTAGAAATTTAAATTTAAAATGCTAATCTCTATGTTTCTGCTATTATGGAAAACATAACTTATTCAAAGATTTCTTTCAAATAAATAAGAGACAGAGATGCCATGCTGTATCACTGAATTGGCTGAAGATCTCAGTACATGGCTTGTCATCAGTATGCTATTTGTTCTTTCAGGTGAAAGTTTTGATATACAAAATCAAATGTTTTCTGTGCTGTGGAGCACCTGTATCATCTTAAATTCATTTGAGACTATAGGTCGATTATTCTGAAAATAGAACTCTTGTTGCTAAATAGAAGTATCCAAAAGATACTTTCAAAAGCCAATTTTGAGAAGATGGATTGTAACTGACTTTTATCTGACCCATCCTGTCTGCTGTGAATAGAGGTACACTTCTCTGTCTTCCAGCAAAATTCAGTCTAATAAACCTGTGTAAATATGTTGAGAACCCTGAAAGGATGGATTATTTTTTTTTGTAAGCCAACAATCCACCCCACTTTGCTTCCAGGATAGTATCGTCAGCTCCCTAGTAAATAATATGTCCCATCTTACCTTGATCATTTAGAGACGTCTGAGTCTTTCATTTTCAGTTATAATCTACTTTGAATAAATAAGCGAGCTTCTCGAGTTAAATATAGGTGTGTATGTATGTACAGTTGCTCAGTATGTAAGTGATTATGGGACAAAATTTGCGCTCTGTTGTGTCTATCAGATACACCAAGTGCTACACAGAGGAATAGGAAGGATTCTCTAGGAGTTCTTTTTATAAAGGTGCCTGTGAAGCATAACTCAGTGACATGTGGGTCTCAGAATTTGCAGTGTGGAATTTTCCCTTTTGTCCTTGAAATTCTCTTCTGGCACTGGTTTATATGTATTGAGCATTGCTGTGTCCTGGCTCAGGCTGACAGAATCTGGGTGAACGTTTCAAGGTAGTGAGTGGGAGTAATCCACAAAGGCTATTAATAACTGGATTACTGCATGCTTACATCAGAGAGAGTTCTGAAAACAGAGTTATCTTTAGTTTGAGTCTGCAAACTCTTTCTGATTTTAAAAAAACCCAACAATAAACCAAAATGTTTCTTAGTAACCCAAAACTCCTTCATGCCAATTACAACCTTATATTGCTCTGAAAACGTATCAAGACATGATCTGATGTACCTCTTAAAAGTGAAAGCCATGAACTCTTCTTTTGTCTTTTTTTTTTTTTTTTTTTTTTAAATATTTGGCCAAACCGTTAGTTCAAAAAATTACTGTTTCTTTAGGTGACAACAATTCAAGGACAATCCTAAGGTATCCATGTCTAAACAGATAAATACTTAGTTTCAGCTTTCTTCTCTTTATTTCTTTAATACTTTGTTAAACTTGCATTTAACTTGATTTGTAGTACCTCAAATGTAACTTTCTGTGTAACATAATATATTGGGGACACCTGGTGGAAGTATTTAATATTGCATTACAAGAAAAGATGCTTTTGATCAAAAAAAATACTTTGGGCATTTGGAAAGTTTCAGTGCTGAAAAAAGGCACTTGTAGGTGCCGTGGGACTGAATAACTGGTTTGAACTGAAATTCTGAGGCTCCTCATTTTAGATGAGGCTTTTGCATTCCTCCTCAAATTTAGGTCCGGCAAGCTGCATCACTTATGTTGATCTCATGTACACATGTAAAATCTAAGTGATGTGATCATTTGAATCGACTGACAGGCACTGTGGTATAGTTTCAACAAAAAAGAATTGTGCAAGAACACTGAGTTTAATTTGCAGTGGATGATTGTGATCCTAATTCAACAAAAATACAAATACACAGTTGGAGTCTTATGTCTACTGAAATGCTTCACTGACTTGGATTTTCTTTCTTTGTAATTATGTTCTATCGTGTATCGTTAGTCTATGGTAATAGAAATATTTTGCATTTAGATAGAATTTTGTTGAGGACCTCAAAACACATTACAAAAGCAAGTAATTGCTGTCCTTACTTTGTTGCATCGTAGACAGGAAATTATTTTGGGAGAAAATAACTTTCCAAAGACTACACAGCAAACCAGCAGCTTTACTAAGGCTTAATACCAAGTCCTCCTGACCAAATCTTGTTTTCCTAACTGGCTGGTGTCTTTCTTTTTCTAAACCATGATATTTTGTTTCTGTATTAGTATAAATTGTTATCTTCTTGAAGTTGTAAAATTATTCTAAATTACCAAAGCTAAAAAGAAAGAATGAGTGAGGCAGCCCTAATATAAGAGATGTTTTATGTTCAGCTCTTTCTCCAAAAGCGACTTTTGGGTTAAGTCTTCCAGTAGTATCTTCTTAGCCCAAGATTAACACAGCCTTACACCCTGACTATAGAAAGAATCTTGAAATGTTTCAGTTTATTGAAAGCCACATATGAAGTTGCATTTGTGATTTGAAACTAGGCTTTAAACTTTTTCCATTTCTTAGCATGTTTAACAGATTTACTCACAAAATGCTAACAGCAGCAGCTTTTAATAAAGGTGAAATCAGTATATTAGTTACAAATCTATATAATTATACTAGTTACAAATCTAGAACTTCATGGTTTTTTCAAATATAATGTTATTCCATGTGCTTGGGTTGCTCTCAATATTACTTTAATGCATTATCAATGTGAATCCTATTTAATTACTACCTTTTTTTACTAACTTTACCTTGTATTCAGTTAGCTTAAAAACTGTCATCCTGTAATGGCTATTATCAAACAGGTTTCATGAACTGGTGATTTTTCAAATTCATGCACACAAACCTATGGTTTGTTGAAGTATTGTCTTACAGCTCCTATGTGAAATTTTTCTTTTTCTTTTGTGGTCAAATACTTCAGCTCAGTTATTTCTTTAACAAAAACATGAAAGAGTGAAAGGTCTTCCAAGTAAAGAAGTAGTAGAAATAAATTTTTGTAAGTACAACTATTTCTCCTGATAATTGCTTTGATTCCTTTATAGATTCTTGTCTTTCATCTCTCTTCAAATCCCTGCCTCATTTGATGGTGACAGTTTTTCTAGAGATCAACTAGTATTTCATCTGCCGTTTTCAGTTAAGTTGGGGTGGCAAACAGCTCTCAATGTCTTGGCATCTCTTATTCTGTTAATCCTTTCTAGCTCACTTGCGGATGAGGGTGTATTGCAAAACTGTATTGTGATGTTTGATTTTCTTGGGTAAGTGCGTGTCCTGTGTGCAGCAGTTCCACTGGTTGCCTTTTGGTTGAAGTGAATTTTAAGGTTTGGTTAAACTGCCAGGTGTCCCTAGCAAAAATGACTTCAGCTATCCTTGTTCTTTTCTACCGGGGACAATATGCCAAGGTCCTGGAAAACTGGTTATGGCAGGACTATGTCTTACAGTAAATACTTAACATAATTTTTCAATGCGATTTCAAAGCCAAAAATATAAATTTGATTCTTAGTTTTGGACACTTCATTTTTTACTTCTGTTGGGAGGATAACATCGTTTCTGTGTCTAGCACTAGGTTACAGCTACTAGGTGTTAGGTTCACTGTTCAGCCACAGATTGCCCAGAAGGCTTAGAATAATACAGAGCTTAATTAACTTAGTTTATGCAGTTTACTGTGGAGAAGGTTAAATGTTTCATGTTACTTGCTTTTGATAGATATCAAGGTATGGACAAGACAGCTTTTCTAGAGCTCAAAGCAATCAAAGTAATGGAACGTCTTCCCAAAAAATAGTGAATTTACTTGGAGTTGTACTTACAATAATGATATTTACTTATTTACTCATTTACTTATAGTAATGGTACTTACTTCATAATGATATGAAGCTGTGTCAGGGAAGTTCAGACTGGACAATAAGAAAAGGCTCTTCTTTACAGAGAGGGTGGTTGACCACTGGAACAGGCTCCCCAGGGAAGTGGTTACAGCACCAAGCCTGTCAAGAGTTCAAGGAACATCTGGACGACAGTTGGAAGGCACCCATAAGGATCATCGAGCCCAAGTCTCTGCTCCTCACAGGACAATCTAAAACTAAACCATGGGTGCCTTCCAACTCGAGATATTTGATGATTCATATGCTGTGCATTTAACATAGATTTTCATTTAGTTTTCTGGAAAAATATTATGATATATATCAGAGAAATGCTGGCCATGAGTCCTTCTGGTATTGGCTAATGAGACATCTGGGTTTTGTAATGAGTACTATCAAACATTACGTGCCAGGGCTTTGGGCAGTTGCCTGCAGGGAACTAGAACATTCTTCCCCCGTTTGCACTTTTTTGAAGCAGCACTTCTCGACGTGCAAGGAGATCAGGATTCAACTGTTGCACGAATGAACAGTGAGACAGGCAGAAGTGCTAACTGGTTTTGAGTGAAATGCAATCTAAATTGTGCTAAAAGAAAAGTTACTTTTTTTGATTGCTCTGAAGCACACAGAATGGTCTCCAGAGGGGAGAAACAAGTGGTAGTTTTGTTAGATGCCTGTCTCATTTGAAATGCTGATCACTGCAAGTGGAGTCAAGAAGGAATTTTCTTTTGCATCAGACTGGCAGGAATCTTAGATTATTTTTTTTTCTGTGTTAAATTCTATGTGATTTACTTTCTAGAATTTTCTGACGTCACATTACATATTTTCTTACTTTTATAGCATTATGCTGGTTTATTTTTAATGTGAATCGTGCCACTATCTCACTTATTCTATGGCCCCACAAACAGCTGCATGGAAATGAGAAGGAAATACAGGGGTATAAATTAGTAGCTGGAACAAAGGTTTTAGAAGTGCATCCCCAATCACTCCATCTTTGTCTGGGCATACAGTTTAGCCTCCTTAGGCCTAAAGTAGTTTTAGTTTAGTGTCTTTAAAAGTGTCTGGATGAAATATAATGGCCTGCAATATACAGGGAATAGATTAAATGATCTAATTGTTCTTTGCAGATATAAACCTCATGAGACTCCATAGAGTTTTCTTTGTTGGGAAGGACAGTTTAAGGAGTTTCCTTCTCACTCTCTTTTGTCCATTACTGCCCTCTTTGCTATAACCATACATTTTTTTTTTGTTGACCTATTCAGATTTGTTGGTTGTTGGGGGGCAGGAAGCACTGAAAGAGTTGGAAGATGTTCTCAGTCTGGGCAGTGTGGAGATGGAGCGTGAATAGTTGTCCTTGATCAACAATGGTTGTTTATGTACTGCTCCTAGCCCAAGAAGTCGTAGCTTCTTGTTGCTCTGTGTTGCCAAGAAGTCTTACAAAGAAAACTGAAGAGAGAGGCAAGTTAATCTTTTCCATGCTTGCCTAGAGCGCTAAGATGTACTGGGTTGGAGCAGCTGCAGGGTGAGTTGGTAAGGGAAGCAGGAAATCTTGGGGGAAGGGAGAATGAATTCCAGTTTTATAACTGCTGCCCAGAGGGTAGATGTACAGGGGGGCATTCAGGGCCATGTGTATCTGTGACCATGGGGCTGATAACAGAATTCCCTTTTCTGCCTCAGAAAGGTACTTCAGAAACTCAGATTTAATTCACAAAAAATTTCCAATTCTTGCATTTGCAGAGCAGCTTTCCTCAATGTATCAGTGATGCATAAATAGATGTGTTTCCATATAGATTTAAATTGTATGTTTAAGAAATGTGGCTCTAAGAAATCGTGTAATCTGCCTTTCTGGATCTTATGAACTCAGCATTATGTTGCAAAGAAACACCAAATTTTTGCATCCTTTCTAACCCTTGGCTTAAGGACCTGACCACAAGAGGGAGTGAACTGGTTTTAGTGTGTCCTCTCTGAAGGGTTCATGGGTGATGGAGGGTAGAATGGCTGCCTTGAAGAACAGAATTCCTATTTGAAAACACAGTCATTGTGGGAGAAGAGAGAAATAGCCTGACAAAGGAGATCAGTTTGAAAACAAGCAGTATGTCAGACCTGGTAGCTTGGGAAAGTAAGCTACTCAGGCTTTCTGCAAGATCTACCCATTGTATACAGGGAGAAGGTGGTTAAGCTGATTTTCTTGGGTGGTAGCATCACAAGCCAGAGAAAAGTTGATAGCATAATGAAAATTAACCCTCAGAAATAAGGGTTGAATAGAGGGTTGATTGTAAGATGCAGCTAGGTGCAAGCCATGAATTGCATCTAATTAATCTTAATATAAAAATAGCACAGAAACCAGACTTAAGGTGGCATGTGTTGTACAAAGGCACATCCTTCACTGGTGAAGATTGCAAAGTTTGTCTGAAGTTGATGGTTCCAAATTACTCTGCCCTGATTATTGCGCCTTGTAGGGTTGACGATGCAGTAGGAAAAATAATTAAGCTTCTCTCTTTAGTTTTCACGCTAATAATTTGTGATGAATTTTGAAGATGTGAATCCAAAGTAGGTCTTAGTTTCCCTCTCCTTAATTTTCCATAAGCATCACTCTGAAGACCTCAGAGCTATTGTTTTGAGGGTTAGACAAACAAAGGAGAGTAAGTCACTGTGTGTACTTGTGCGTCTACTGTTAAGATTCAGCTGGATGGCCTATATAGCATATAAAGAGCTATGCTGGTAATTAATAAAAATCAAGTAATTGTATTCACGTATAGAAGCTAAGAGGTGTGGAGTAATTGTGAATCACCCCAGTTTCAGCAGAAGGAAGGCTTGCAATATTTTCTTCCTTCTTTATTATTGTTCTCTTTTTCTTGTGAGTTTCCCTAGCATGTGGTTTGCTGATGGTGAACGTTTAGCAAAAATTACTATTTTTGCCTATATCCAAATGAGTATTGAATAAAAATTCAGATAGTTCCATTTAAGGCAAAGTCTTGGGAAGAGGCAAAATAGACTTTCCTCAGTTATCTTGGGAAACACAAAGATGAATATATTATCTCGGCAGAATAGATCTTGCAGGGTATAGCATGCTGTAGGAAATGGAAAAATGTGTAAGAAATATGTCTGCCACCTTGAAACGAACTTTTGTTGCTGACTTTGTGCAGATCACCTCTAGGTAGCAACCAGTCACCCTCCTTGCCTCTTGACCTACTTCTCATCTCATAATGCTACTAGTATTATTTGTAAATGGATTGCTGTAGCTTTAAAATACATTAATATTATCAGAGTTAAATATAGTTTGTCTATGCCTGCAAGGTAGTAATCTGCTTAGGGTTCTGGTTCTCTTCATATTGTGTCTTTAACAATGTTGAGCTGGTGGCTGACACTTAGTAAGTAATATGACATCAGATGACAACTTCCTTAGTGGAAATGATGTCTGAATAACAAACACTGCAAGGTCTAAACCAGCTTGTTGTGTCAGTCTGACCGTGAGTTCTCACTTGAAAATATTTGACAGGCCTGCTCATTTTTTAAAAAATATAACCTATTGGAGATATTTTTGTAGCTGAAATCCTTTCTAGCTTTCATCGAACCACTTCTCATCGCGTATAGCAACCTCGTTAGCACCAGCCAAAAACCTGGATTGTGCTGGGCCTGATTCTCATTTGCATTACGACCCTTACAGGTCTTTTTGGCTAGATAAAGAACTTTTATACAGTATGTAAATTACATATATATTCACTTAAAACTTAGCATGAATATGTACAGTGATTTGCACAAGCTTTAAGCATGTCATACACTGACAGAACTCAATGTAACGGAGTTCTTGATATAAACAAGAATCAATACCCTTCCCTCCTGTTCCTACTATATCCGTTATGTTGAAGATAATTTGTGGTTTTGCTTGAGGAAATGCATATGTGTTTTATCATTTCCCTCAAAAACACTTTAACTGCAAAAGATGCAGATAAGTGTCTCTCCTTTCATTTGCCACACTTATTAATCCACTGCATTTGAGACATGTAAATGGTGCTATGAGATAAAACTGAATTGTGTGGACAGAAGAAGAAGGATCTGAAAAAAGCTTTACTTCCCTGTGGAACAGTGAGAGACTGACCTCGTGTGGTGTGAAACCGAAGTTGTGAGGAGAAATACAGGCAGGATAAAACTGAATAAACTGACTATCTTTGAAAAATTAAATTTTCTCATGCATTTCTGATTTTTGTTGGGTGCTGCACCACTTCTATTTAAATAATATTAGTTTGGATAGTTTGCAATGTGATTGCTGATAAGAAGTTGACCAGTGTCTGTATTCCCAAAGACTTATTTGTGTTCTGAAAGGATACCCTAACAAGCTGACCCCAAGACAGCAGGCTAGGAGCCAAGGCCCAATTATCCTTGCTGCTGCCTGTGTGTAATTTTAATTGAAATGAGTAGGAGTTTCATGTGAGCAAATGACGGGGTAATCAGTCTCGGTTTCTAAGCCCTTTCTGGCACTTCCCCAGCAGCATGCCTTTACTGCCTTGCTCTGTAAAATGAAGACACTGGTTAGGTTAGGAAAATTATGGAGTTGCACCATGCAGAATGGGAAGGGTGTTCCTAGCCTGTATATTTTTTACAAGCATGGATAATATTAATACTGGAGACTTCTGAGTCAATTCTGTCGGCCTGATTCATCAATATGTATGGAAACATCCAGGTATATGGATAACAAAAGGAGGTTCTGTTATTTTGAAAAGTCTCTTATTTAAATAAATAACATGGATTTAGTTTTATAGTATTTAGGGAGTAATGTGGCTTATAGACTCTCACAGGAAAGTCCACTTCAAAATCCTTTGGGCAATTCAGGTGAACATTTTAAAACTCTGTCCCCATCCTGCAAAGACTTCTCTATATGCTTAATTGTACTCTTTCTGTTCTTTATGTTGACTTAAATGTCTGAAATAAGAAAGACTTGTAGTATTTTCTACAGGTACTCTGAGTTCTACATGGCAAAACTTCTGTTTTCTTCTTTACAGATCCTCTTGGAACCAGGGGTCATACAGGATGTCCTATCAGCTGGGAGTCATTTGCAGCTGCTGGAGCTTCTCAGTTTGTGTTCTCACTATCTCATTCAGGTGAGGCTTCTCTTCCTGACTATCATCCATTCCTATTTGGTAAACTTTTGTTTCAAGCCTAATTTCAGTAGGACAGTATTAGTGCAATACCTGGTGTAACTTAAATGACAATAAACTGCATTTTAGGAGACTTGAGTTTTGACTGTAATTTGGGTATCAGTTTGTGGTGCGTGCTTTCTCCTCCCATCCATTTTGTCCATTTCAGTCCTGAAAACAAGGATGGTTCACTGATTAATATCAGCACATGAATCTAATTCCCTCCTTTACCACAGAATTTGCTTTCTTCTGCCTCAGTTTACCAAATGTTAAATATTTCCCTATCATGAAGCATTCAGATACATAAGTGTTCACAACAGAATATTGATGCATATTTGAGGTCACTACTGCCTCTCACTGAAGGGGCAGATCTTATTAGAATAGCACCTTATTCTCAACTGGCCTTATGCCCATAATGCTGATAATATTATCAACATTAAGGCTGTCATTATGAAGCAAAAAATCTGAATCCAGTAAAATAATTTTTTGTGCTTGTATAGGAGATGGCTCATGATGGTAGCATGAACATAGTTTTGATATGTATCAATGAAAAGCCTTATAAAAAAAACCCTGAAAATGGCAATAGCAAGTCTACAGAACTATTTCCTTCTCTTTGTAATCTTTCAGTATTGCTTCTGAAATCTGTGTCTGTGCAACAGTTGGGGGAGGAAATACATGTCAGCACAATCCTCTGTGTACACACTTGCCTTCCAACAGCATAACTGCCTTTGAACCATCTGAGTGTGCTTGGCAGCACACTGAGCTACTGAGTACCATAGGCTTGCAGGATCTCATGTTAAGATCTTCAGGACGTACTTGAAGGCTTTGTGTCTTTTGGAGAAAGAGTCTGTTCTTTGACTGTTAGCCTTAGAGAAGCCTTCAAAATCTATGTTCAAACGATAAGGTGGTGTTAATTTGTGTATTGTAAATTGATTAGAAACTTAAAGGAGCTGGTAGAGTAGTGCAGTTTGTATCAGTTTGTTTTCAGGAATGTAAGGAGGGATTTAATTTTTCTGAGAACATAGACATGGGATGTGTGGGAAAGATGCTTGGTTTGAGAAATAAGAAATGTGAGATGCCAAATAAGCCACAAAACCATTTGGCCCAGCAGTTGTCAGGCAGGCATGGGAAGGGATTACTGTAATGAGAAAGAAAATACAAGTCTTAACATTGATAGTCAAACAGTGTATTTAATGCCCCCCTAAGAAATCAATCAGTGTGACCATGTCTCTGCTGCTTATGTGCTCTGTCTTTGTCAGAAATTGAACCAAAGAGACCATTACAGCAAAGAAGCTTGGGGAAATATTAACAAGTAGGGAAGAAGCTGAGTATTGTAGTGCTGGTGAGGTATGGTCATGAGAAGACTGTAGGAAAGGAGCAAGTACATGCCTGGCATAAGTCGTTGAACTAACTTCTTCCATGACCTGTGTTGAGTAGCCTCTAGTATTTGTAGCTCTTCCCCTGACACCATCTTAATACTTTTAATCCCGAGGTCACTGCAGTGGAAAGAGAACTGTAGAATTAGCAGTGATTTGGTTCCCATCCGTGATGTGCAAGCCATAGTCAAGTATTGAGGCACAGACTGCTAATGAATTAAAAAAAAATAAATAGAAAACCAAACCAAACAAAAATCAACCCCAAAACCACACCACCCACCTGAAAAAAAAAACAAAACAAACCCAGAGTGAGAAAACATTGTTGCCTCATTTACTCTGTAATAACAGACTAGTGAAAAGTCTCTGGAGGCGACAGTCAGTATGCAGTCACTCCAATGATTTGAAAGAGCTTTGTTGTACTCTGAGTAGTGTGCCAAGGTAGGGGAGCTACACTGGTGTAAAAATGAAGACAAAATGGGACCTAGTGTCCAGATTTAGGGTAGAGGTTTGAAGGGTAGGGTATAAAAAGTAGAATGTGTGTTAGGAGACAGAACGCAGTGGTAGCTCTATAAAGAATTTTTGAATCAGGGTCTTGTTTTAAAGTTTCAAATCTGCATGGACATCTGTGGAATGACTGTAGCTTACATCATGTTGGGCTCCGAACTGTGTTTTACTCGTTTTATAGGGTTTTTTTTTCACCAGGTTCACCCCAGCAAGGCATATCTGTAGACAGACTTGCAGTCTGAATAGATCACAGTAAGAATTTATCTGTCGTCTTTGCTCTGCAGAGTTGCAGTCCTTGCAAGTAGTCAACCTGGAGTAGTTGTGTAAGCCTTTTTAGCAGAGGTCAACGAGGTACTGTGCATAAAGATTGTGATATCTTTCAGGGTCTGAATTAATTATATCAAATACCTGCTTATGTTCTACATACTATTGGCTGATTCTAAAAATATCTGTTGCTTTATTTTAGTACTTTTTTTTTTTAGTACTATCTAAATGCAAAATCGAAGTAGTTAAAGAAGGCTTCCTTGAAGCCATTTATCCTTGCTGCAGTTGGTAACTGGAGTGTCTTGTCACTCTACATGCTCTGATACAGATGTTAGGAAGAGGATGATGCTTGCCCTTTCTCTTTTTTCTGATGAGTGCTGCAGAGTTCTTAATTTACTGTAGTAGTGAATTTCTTTCTTGCTGTTTTGAGTTGTTCAGATATCATGAACTTAGCTTAGTTTAGCTTAAATTCAGGGAATATAGTATGTGGAATCTAGCTGTTATTTTTTATTGTTCTGTAATGATGACACAGAGTTTTAACTTGTTAGGATTGTCTTTAATTGCTTGGATTGTTCCAAGCTTTTCCTATGCAAGAGTGCTCTTATTATTAGACCTTGTTCCAGCTCTTTTCTTTCTCTAGCTCTTCCAGCTTGTCAGTTTTTTGGAGCTCAAGACAGTTTCATATCTTTTTGATACTTTTATCTGAGGCCTCTAATTTTTCCATGGATTTAAATAAGGATTTTTGTTTTCTACAAATGCAATTGGCGTGGCCCATACACATATCTGTTCCAAGGCATGGAACATTTGTAGTCTGTGAGGTTCCAAAGAAGATGGTACTGATCTAATTCATCAAAGATGATTTTCGAAGTGTCTAATTGTCGAAGATGATTTGCAATGTGCTGGGGGCAGATTCATTTCCAGCCAACACTGACTTTTATTTTGACTGAACTTTAAGAAATTTTCTCTCAGTTGTCTCAGAATAAGCAAGATGTTATTTTGACTATAAGACATATCCTCTTTCTTATAGACCGACCGGTTTAGATCACTTTAGTTTTTAGATAGATCTTAAAAAAAAATTGGGTAACAAATTGTTTAAATCATAGTTATGGCATTTTTATGAAGAGTTTTTGATCAAAGGAAAGACAGAAAAAAGGAGAGGAATATTTTTTTCACCCCACCCCCAGTTAGGTAATATCCATCTCTAAGATATTTGTGATAGCATGATACAATGGAGCTTTCTGACAGCACTGCTAGTTTACTAAATGCCTTTTACCATCTATAAACTTCACATTATCAAATGTTCTGTAGCATCTCATGTTGATTCCATTTTCTCATTGAAAAACTCATTCTCATTTTGGATCAATAATTTACTGATTTTTTTTTTAAAAGAATTGTAGATCAAATTTTCTGTACTTGCAAACAAGAGAAATGCCCAAGCATTCCTTACTTTAGGTCTTAATTCCATCTTAGTGTTGTGCAGAGTTCTCTCCCTGCCTCGGCAGCATCCTATCTTGAATTATGGTTACTCCCCAACCTCTGCTGCTTCAGGGCTTTTTTTTTAGCTTCATTTGTAGAGGGGGACTTTTTTGAAACATACTGATGTATTTTATTTGAGATACATACATATTCATGAATCTTTCCCATCATGTCATCTGCATAATTCTTGGGTACTTTAAACATTGAAACAAGGCTCGAAATCTCACTCATCTCTCAGCATAAACAAGCAGTAGGGTGATGTGATTGTTCTTAGCTGTATTGCTGCTACATAGGTGTGGGAAAGCCAAGCTGAAGACTTCAACTTTGTGTGTTTTGAGTTGTGCTAAGGTCCATGATCACGCACACAGCATTTGCTTGCAGAGTGCACATCCAGTTTTCTGAGACTCTTGTTGCCTGTGTTCCTCTTCCAGCTCAGATTGATTGTCAGTTTTGTCTGAGGTTTTTCGAAGGAGGCTAAGGTAGAGAGCTGCAACCAACAGGTAAACTTTGTTGAAATATAATGGGGACAGATTATCTGAATGTCTTGTTTCCCTTTCAGAAGTTTTAGCCTTTAGGGTTCCAGTGGACCGTAACTGTCTTACTAAGACATTGGAGAATGCAAGAGAAAGCTAGCAAAGGCTTTGAATGTGATGGAGATCTGAGAATGGAGTACTTATATGGAGCTGTAGAGAACATGGTATTAGGTAGTGTGTTTGTGATGACCTATTTTGAACTTTAAAGCTTATAAATGTTTTTCTGAAGGGTACATGATGACTTTATTCTTATGCAAGAGAATAAATGTGTTAAAAGATTTATTCAGAACATAGAAATGTTTATTTCATATGTCTGAGTTGTAAAACTGATTGTAGATGTACGAAGTTTTGTCTTTTTCCTCAGCTGTTTGTGTATTCAGAACCAAAGAGATCCACAGACTGCAACAAACAAAGAATCTTAATAAGGAGGGAATGCTATTAAGAATACAAGTTTTTAAAGGAATTTCCACTGATCAACATCAACTCAATATTGTGTGGGTATAGCTGTAGTAATAAGTTTTTAAACCAGAGATTGATTTCCACTGGCCTTCAGAGACCTGGGACATGAGATTGTCCATGTGTGAAATCTTAAAGCTAAGTGATTTTTCTGCATTTTCTGAAGTCCAGTATTATTGTTTTCAGTGGAGTTCTGTATAACTCATGAGTTAAATTCAAGGTGATAGCTGTGAGTGAGGGGTTTAGAAGTGTCAGAACTGTCCAAAGCAACCACTTGTTTCTAAGAGGTAGGACATAGCATGATTGTTAGCATTTACCCCTTTAACTTCTTCTGCCAGATCAGGCGCATTTTGTG